GTCCGGACCCGAAACGTCAGCCTTCCTGCTCCTCTGATGCTGCTTGGCCTGCTGTGTTCATCCAGCTCCACACCTTGTTATATCAATCCAAATAGTTGTCTTTGTAAGAAAGGAATTGGTTGAAGGAATTTAAATGCATTGAATGGGTTTGAAAATGAAAGTGCTTCATTTTGCGTGAAGTCATCTTTAGACACTTAACTCTTTTCTTTCACAATATGCACTGATGTAGCAGCTGGTGGACACTACTGCTTCATAGTGACCACACCTGTAGCAAGTGTTGGTTGCTTGAGGTTCAGAGTTGATGAGGTGGAGTCTGAGCTTTGAACGTATCAGGGAGAGGGAGAGTTATCTGAATGCTGTGTTTCAGGACGCAGCTGTACCCATTAGATTAACTGCCTCAGATTCGGTCAGTGGTCAGGGACAGGAAGGTGTGACTATGAGTGAGGGAGGTAGAGCGATCCAGGATGGCACGGTGGCTCAGTGGTTAGCACTGCTACCTCACAGCACCGGGGACCTGGGTTCAATTCCACCTTCGGGCGACAGTCTGTGTGGAGTTTGTACATTCTCCCTGCGTCTGCATAGGTTTCCTCCGGGTGGTCTGGTTTCCTCCCACAGTCCAAAGATGTACAAGCTAGGTGGGTTGTCCATGCTAAATTGCCTGTAGTGTTCAGGGATGTGGAGATTAGGGGTTAGGTCTGGGTGGAGATGCTCTGTGTGTTGGTGTGGACTTGTTGGGCCGAAGGGCCTGTAGGGATTCTATGAAAAGGTAGTGCTGAAGGAAACTCAGTCTTTGAGCTGTCTAACAGGTTTGAGACTCTTGTTCCTCTGTGGATGAGAGTGGGGACTGTAGGGAGGATGAGCAAACTGACCACAGCACCATGGTGCAGAGAGCCATTCAAGAGGTGGGAGAAAAGAGAAATGTAGTTGCAATCAGGGATAGTAAAGTCAGGGAAATAGACATTGTCCTTTGTGGCCAGGAGTGAGAATCCTGAAGACTTGATCACCTGCCTGATGCCCAGGTTCAAGATATCTAACCTGGACTGCAGAGGAACATGGGGTAGGAGGGGAAAGATCTAGTTGTTGTGTTCCATATAGATACCAGTGATATCAGTAGAAAGAGAGAAGAGGTTCTGCTGAGGAATGAAGAGCAGCTGTGGGCTAAATTAAAAAGGTAATAATCCCCAGATTACTACTGGAGCCACGGGTAAATTGGCACAGGGTCAACAAGATTAAAGAGATATACTCACGGGGCTCAGAGATTGGTGTGGGAGAAATGAGTTTGAATTTATGGGACATTCAGCAGCATATGTCTGATTTTTTTAATTCACTCGTGGCCCATGGGTGTTGCTGGCTGGACCCAACATTTCTTGCCGATCCCTAGCTGCCCTTGAGGAGGTGGGGGTGAGCTGCCTTCTTGAACCGTTGCAGTTCTCCTGCTGTGGATCGACCCACAATGCCCTTAGGAAGAGAATTCCTGCATTTTGACCAAGCGACGGTGAAGGAACGGTGATATATTTCCACATCAGGATGGCGAGTGACTTGGAGGGGAACTTGTATGTATCCCATATCTCTTTGTTCCCATGGTGTACTCAGCAACAGGCCGGACAGGCAGAACAGAGCAAGATCTCCAGAACATTATTCTAAGCAGATCTACACTGGGCAATTTCTCGTCACAGAGTTTCTGCTGGCACTCAATCAACCAATGGTCCTGCAGGCATTTTTCGGTGGGAGTATTTGCTCCCATTCCCTTGTATTACAAAACTAGAAGGTTATAGCGTTACCCAGTAGGTGTTGTGTGATCTATCTCACCTTCTTGTTCACATTTATAAATCTTGCGTTTGCAATAACATTGATTCTAAGAAGGCTCCAAAATAGGAGCAGGAGTAGGCTATTTGGCCCTTCCAGCCTGCTCCACCACGATCATGGCTGATCACCCAACTAAGTCAAACGTCAGCCTCTCTGCTCCTATGATGCTGCTTGGCCTGCAGCCCTGCACCTTGTTGTCTCGGATTCTCCAGCATCTGCAGTTCCTACTATCTCTGACCCAACTAAGTCCCCTCTTTTCCCATTCTCCCTATATCTTTTGATCGCTCTAGCCCAAAGAATTATATCCAACTTCTTCTTGAGAACAGCCACTGTATTCCCTCATCCACTTTCGGTGGCAGTGAATTTCACAGGGTCACCACTCTCTGGGTGAAGAGGTGTCTCCTCAGCTCAGTCCAAAATGGTCTACCCCATATCCTTAGGCTGTGACCTCAGGTTCTAAACTCCCCAGTCATTGATATCATCCTACCCTGTCTAGTTTTGTTAGGCATCTAGAGTTCTTCTGTTTTCAAACGATGGTGATGATTAAGCAAAGACAATGTGTTTGATCCTGTGGACGGTTACAATAGGTTTCCAACCGACCTGCGTATCATTGCAATTAATGCATCACCTAGTAAATGGGTCCCGTACCATGTTTGTCAACAATCCTTAGTGTTATTTTTTATTGGCCTTTTTTCAATCATTCACAGGACATTCTTATTAGTGGTAATGCCAACATTTATTGCTCATCCTTAAATCCTCTTGAAAAGCATGTGGTGGACCACCTTCTTGACCAGAGCCGCGTGGCTTCGGGGTTTATTTCACACGGTAGTCAGGAGCCTCACTGCTGTTGGCCTGGAGTCATGTGTAAGGCAAGACCAGGTAAGGACTGCAGATCTCCCTCTCCAAAGTCAACTCGCTGAGGTTTTACATCAATGCAGTCACACAACTTATTTTATTTAATTCCAGATTGATTGAATTAACGGAATTTAAAGCCCCCAACCCCCCCACCCCGCCTTGCCTTGCCGTGGATCATTAATCCAATGCTGCCTTCCTTGTGAATATAGATTATAAACAAGTCAACGTCAGATTTTTGTGTTGAGTGATATGATAAACATTTATTAACAGAAACTTTAGACATTAATGCAAAATAATTAAAAACCACATCACTATCTGTACAGTATTGAAAAGGCACATGTATTCCTTAAACCACCATTCAACGAACCCAGGGGATAGATTTCAGAGCCTGACTGTTTACATAATCTTTGGTTTAAAACAGTGAGCTCTGGCACAATATGGAAACGTATTAGTGAGCATTTTAGTATCATTCAATAATATCACTCTTAGACCATTGTATATTAGTTAATGCTCTGTGAGTGTGTTAGGCCTGTGGTGAGGTTAAACTACTACAAGCTGACTCTTATGCAATCATAGAATCCCTACAGTGTGGAAGCAGGCCATTTGGCCCATTGAGTCCACACCGACCATCCAAAGGGCATCCCACCCGTCCCTGTAGCCTTGCATTTCCCATGGCTAACCCATCCAGCCTGCATATCCCTGGACACTACAGGCAATTTAGCATGGCCAATCCACCTACCCTGCACATCTTTGGACTGCAGGAGGAAACTGGAGCACCCGGAGGAAACCCACACAGACACGGGGAGAATGTGCAAACTCCACACAGACAGTCACCCGAGGGTGGAATCGAACCCAGGTCACTAACGCTGTGAGGCAGCAGTGTTAGCCACTAAGCAACAATCCCACCCCAATGAATGAGGGAATGGGCTTGTTTTTGATCAATGTCATATAACTGAGGAAAGTTGCACCCTCTATAAACACGCTCATCCAAGATTCTACTGTCCATAGACAATTGCAACAAGCCCTAACAAGACCTGTTGTAAAAAAGATCTTGATAGTAAAGTATGCAATTCTCTTAAGGTTCATAAGTAACACTAGTGAAACACTAGTGAAAGCAAACAGGGGATGAGGCTGTATCATCAAGATGTTCCAGTCGAGAGCAAACCACAGCATTTTGATGTGTATGAGACAGCGGATGGACCTCACTTGGGATGTATGTCA